CCTCGCCCGGGAAGAGCGCAATGACGGTGCCAACTTGGGCCAGTGAAGCAACATCCTCCACAACTAGATTGAAGAACAAAAATGACAGCAACTTGTATGTTCCCCTTCCCCCAGTTCCCCAGCACTGTTCCCATCCCCCCAATTCCCCAATAAAAATCTTTAAAAAATAAAATAAAATAAAAAGGTCTGCTCAGCAGGAGCTGTGACTTTTGGCCAAGGGACACCATCTCTTCAAAACCATGGCTTGTAACTGTGAACAACAGTGTGCGGCAACCCTGCCTGATTATTGACAAGGGCTTGAACTCTTCAGGATTAAAAAATAAAAAAGCATTACAAATATTTTACAAAGAAAGGGTTATTTGGGTCAGATAGGGTTGACAACCTTTGCAAAAACAAAAAAAACAAAAACATAACCAATGTTGATAACAAAAAGGTTCAAATATGTTCAAAATGCTCTCTTTAAGAAGTCAGAGGTATTTAATTTTTTTTTAATTTCCAGCAAAAATGGTTTAAATTAAGCTATAAGGCATAATGGAATAAGCTTCAATTACCTGAAAATAGATAGAAAAGGCAGTGTGATATCTTGGGAAAAGCACCAGGTCTCGACATGTAATGCCTACATTCCTGGCTCCACTAAAAGCTCACAGTTACTATTTCAGACCCTCAGTTTACAGGTTTGTAAAATGGAGATACTGGCAAGGACTAGATTTATCCTATCTGAAACAACTAGAAAACTAGACGAACTGTATGAAATGGCAGTTTACAAGACATTGGACATCAGGCAGTGAAGAGCAGTAATCCTTGGGAGATGGGAAACAAATGAAATGAGCCCAAAGATTGCTCCAACTTTCTCTCTGGAGAGGTTCTCCAGGCCAGGGTGCAGGGAGGGGCCCCCAGGCAGAGTCACCCTGAGGTGAAGAGAGCTGCAAGTCCAAGGGAGCCAAGGCAGTTAGAATTGCAGGGTAGAGCAGTAGAAAGAGCTGCACAGAGGACAATGCTTCACCTGAGGTTATCACATCTGTGATAAACCTATCTGAGGCCAGGAAAGAACCACCGCCAAAACTGAGACTAATCACTACAGGAAACAATCCCCACAGCTCACTAAGGCCAGGGATAGTTCTTCCCACCAGCCAGCATGGAAAACCTGGTAATTCAGAGGATGTTGGGCACAGAAAGTACTCAAAAGCCTTTGATTTAGTAGTAGGGAAAACCAGCCTTAGACTAACCACAGCTCTGGTACTGCCTAACAAAGCTTAAAGCCCAAATCCAAAGAGATCAAACTAGTTCAAGTAACTTAATCATATCCCATAATAAAGCTCAAGTATATAGAAATATAAAAATATCCAGTACTCCATAAGGCAGAGGTTCTCAACCTTCCTAATGCCGTGACCCCTTAATACAGTTCCTCATGTTGTGGTGACCCCCAATCATAAAATTATTTTTGTTGCTACTCTCTAACTGTAATTTTGCTACTGTTATGAATTGTAAGGTAAATATCTTTTTGTTTTCCGATGGCCTTAGGCGACCCCTGTGAAAGGGGTCGTTTGACCCACAGGTTGAGAACCGCTGCATAAGGTAAAATTACCAGACATGTAAAGCAGGAAGAAAATATGACCCACACTATAAGAAAAAGCAATCAAAATCAACCCAGAAATGAAAGAGATGATAGAATATTAAAAGTTATAATTGTATTCCATATGTTCAAGAAGCTACAAAGAAAGATTAAACAAGCT